TTTAAGGTCCAATGCAATTTGTCAGAGGTTGTAATGCCAAAGAAATGTGTCTATAGACTACCAAAAGCATCTCTTCTTCACCTTGGACTCAATGTTTTCACTTTATTTAAGGATTTGTGGTTTGCCATCATATGTCACGTTGCGGATCAGGTATCCAGTGCAAGCCTCATAATCTAAACTGAGCACGACCAACTGCAAAGTTTCATCTCTTACCCACAGAGGGGGCAGCTGAGGCGGCAGTCATTGGTCCGACCTCGTAGGCAGCGGGCGCAGAAGATATGGTAGCAGTCCAGTAAACATGGGGACTTGTACTGCTCATGGCACAAGTGACACACCAGGGGGTGGACGATAGCACAGTCCACCTCAAACAGGTTGCCCACGTTGGAGAAGATCCCTCCTGCCATCTGAAGACAGAACAGGTGAATAATGACAAACAAAGAGGATAGGTCGGCTTAAATCACTTCATCACTTGAAATAAAACAATATGTGCCGTGGTGTTACATAACAGTTCGAATATTTCAGTCATTTTAAGAGAGGCTAAGCTGACAGACATAGCAAGCACATAGGTGCAACAAGCTGGAAATCAGTTAAAGTAAACATGCAGAACTCTTTTGTCTTACCATTCAACCATGTGTTAAGTGAACAGAGATTTGGTAACTACATAAAATATACACAACACCAGATTCACTGTCGACAACATGAAGGCAAGACTTACTGTAAATGTAGCAGGCTTGTCTGCAGAAAGAACAGAGAGCCACTGTCCTACCTTTCAGTGGTGCTATCAGCTACCCCCAGCAGGAATGACAGCAATGCAGAAACTCTTCAATAGTCGGCTGATGGGGTCTGTCCACCAGGCAGCTGACACCTCACACCTCATGCCAGCCCCCCAATGTTGCCAAAGTTCACCAGGGACATTTAATATTCTTGCTGCTGTCTGTGAGTGCAGTTGTCCAGATTACAAAGCTATTCTGACATTGCACCTCGTGCTGCAGAGAAGTGAAATGAGACTAAACAATTTTTTTTTACATTACCAGTAACTATAAATTATGTAATTTACAAATTGTTTTAGTTTTACTTTTCTCTTTTGTTCTTCTGAAGCATATTTTAATGGTTTATGTGTTATACAAAGCCAGCATGCTATACATCAGCACAACCACACTAATCTGCATGTATTCCAAAATCAATAATGTTCGACAAAATATCAGATAAAAACGTGCTGTCTTTCTTCTATTACTCATATATTATCTTATATTCAAAAGAATGCACTCAAACACAATAAACACTTCTGTATCTTGTTGACAAATAAAAATGTGAGCCAGCAGCAAATTCGAAACTTGCAATTTCATTTGAAAACATTATTTCATCGTGTGAGAAGTTTACTTAATCAACTTCAGATAACGTGATTCGATCGATTTAGCAGGGACGTACTTTACTTCCTGTGCAGCCGCAGCTCCTTCCTTTTAGCTGAGCGTGTCAGCCATGGCTCCAATAGTGAGTAATAGTCCCGTAAAAAGTGGACAGAGAGAACATGTCTTTTACTCTCTTTGTAATCCATATATGTCTTTGTAGTCGGACTAACATGCTGCAGACCTTTTGACTGTTTGAGTCTTTGTATTAGCTTTAATTAATGTATAAACTTGAGGGCACGTTGCAATGAGAGGTACAGCTAATGTTAGCAGTTGTTAGCGTAACAAGTCGATAAGAATGTGTCCAAAGGAAAAAAAAACAAAACACTTTCACTATACCATTTGCCGGTATAAGGTATATGAGTTTAAAACAAACATATGCGTTTGTGTTTGTATTGTAGAAGAAGCTGGTGGCCAGGAAACCGGGTGGAAAGAGGAAGAAGCAGACCCTGAAGTTCACTCTGGACTGCACTCATCCCGTGGAGGACGGCATCATGGATGCTGCCAACTTTGTGAGTACCTTCACTTACAATCCAATAACATGTTTGTAACACCGGTGTGCTGGATGGTATATGCCCACTTAATTTGGGTCAAAGCCAATGTGATATTAACTATATCCTTGTGTTTTCACTGAAGGGAAAAACACACCTCCTCTCAGGGGCAATGGGGGAAAAAAAGTTTTGTTTTTTTATTATTATTTATATCCCATAAAGGTTTTCATTTTACTGACTTCTGATCCTTTCTATTTCCCTTTGTCCTCATTGCATGCAGGAGCAGTTTTTGCAGGAGCGTATTAAGGTGAACGGCAAAGCTGGAAATCTTGGTGGAGGAGTGGTCTCCATTGAGAGGAGCAAGAGTAAAATTGCAGTGAACTCAGAGGTTCCCTTCTCAAAGAGGTATAAAATGCATCAAAATACTGTCGTGCTGCAGAAGTGAACACACAAACACAGCAGTGCTTTACCATCACAGTTGAGACGGTTGTTGTACTTGGGTGGTGGAAGGATATGAAATATTTGACAACTGAAGATAAATAGTTGTCTATAACACCAAAGATATGCCATGTTGAATGCTTTGCCTAAACCTTTGTCTTTTGCAGTTAGTATATGGTTGCAAATATTTTTGATTAATTGCTTAGTGGAATGGAAACACATTTTTCACATAACATGAGTCACATGGTCAACATGCAAACTGCGAAGAAGAAGACAGGAAGTATTTGGAGGATGAAGGCTTGGAATGCTTTTTAATGACTTTTTCCATGAACAAACTTAGTCATGTGTGTTTTTAATTGCGTTTTTCAATTAATGGAAGCGCCGCGATTGTGATTTTTTTTTTCTTTTTTTTTAAATTAATCAAATATAGACTAAAAATTTTCTCACGTTTGTAAAGGAAATGCAGGTAGTTGTTGCTGGACTACATTGATTATAACTTTACTTTATACTTAGCATGCATATCCTAACAGTTAAAGGTTAAACAGAGAGGTTTATCATCCATGAAAAACAACATGAAGCTATTGACTGCAATAATTCAGCCGATTTCACTCAAGAACAGTGTCACAGCTAAACAGAATAACTACCTTGAGTGTAATTTCTTTGAAGAGAAAAACAGAGCGAGAACTAAGTTACTGACAAGAACTACAGGAGAAGCATCAGTGGAAAGTAGCACGAGAAAGTAGCAGAGTTAGAAAAGGTGACAAGTGTCTTCAATCAGCCTCAACCATAACTACAGAAATAGCTCAGCGGATCCTACTACACTTTAAATATAAACTTCATTAAGAAGGAAAGTTTTAGCCTATTCTTTGACTAAATGAGGTGTCTTCTTTATTGACAGAACCTTGGGGTTGGTTCCACAGGAGAGGAAATAACTTAAGGATTGGTCTTTTGTTATATTTCACTCCTGTAAATGGTTTTAAAAAAATGAGCATGAGATTTGTTGCTGTACTGTGTTTGCTACAAATCAGCTTTTCATTGGTGTTCAGAACAAGCTGAGGAACAAGCAGGTTATGGGAGGGTGGTGGCTTATGGTAAACCACTTAATACATCTCCACAGTTAACACGCATTGAGAAGCGCTTTTTAAATTGGCACAAAATATAGGCATCAAGTTTTTAAAAGCACCTTTGCTATCGCCAGCTATTCTTCTATCTAAATACTTATAGTTTTTACAGTTGAACCTGAAAGTTTTTACATTTGTCAAACTTGTATTAATGTACAATTACTTAAAACAAACGTTTGAATTGCTTTTTTTGGTATATATTGTTTCTTTTTTCAAAAGGAACGAGATGCACAAAGCTTTCACAACATTGCCACCAGAGGGCGACTGTGGCGTCAATCCTTAAATGGAGCGTTCTACATTGTTCCTGAAAGCAATCAATCAGAAATGTTGCATCTAACCTTGATGTAAACTAAATGACCTGAACCTGAAGTGAATAACACAACTTATTGATCCAACTATGAGGGACAATAAATTGCTTTTGTGATTCATTCAGATCTTGTACTGTTAAAACATGATTGCAATAAATAGAATAATGCTGCATTGAGTTTATGTTATGCATTAAATTGAACTCAAACTCAGTCATGTGTTTCTGTCTTTTAGGTACTTGAAATATCTCACCAAGAAGTATCTAAAAAAGAACAACCTCAGGGACTGGTTGCGGGTTGTGGCGAACACCAAGGAGAGTTACGAGCTGCGCTACTTCCAGATCAACCAGGACGAGGAAGAGGAGGAAGAAGATTAAACCAGATGTCTCTAATAAAATGTCACCAGACTAAAGAAATGTGTCCAGAATATTTTTCATATTGTATCGTTTCTTTTTATTTCACAAAGTCCCTTCAAGATTAGAAATCTCTGTAAGATGTTAGCAACCACAGAAGTCCAAACTATGTAAAACATGTGTAATAAGCATTACAACAAAAATGACAGAAATTCAAACAAAGGGATCTCAAGAAAAGCAGCTGCATTTCAACTTCATGAATTTACGGGGTTTTAGTTTAAGAATTTTTATAGGTTGTTCCATGACTGTGATGAATAGTAGGAACATGCTCTTGCCAATCTGTCTGAACCTTGGAAATATTCAGAAAAAAAGCTACTGGGAAAGTTCACGAATCTGATAACTAAAACATCTGTCATTGTTTTACAGTTTGCATATAAATGTACTTGTCAGAGTTAAATCTTTTTGATTACTTATTTGGCTGCATAAGGCCAAAAAAAAAAAAAAAAAACAGAAGCAAAGCTTTGCAAAAGCTGTGCTATTAGGGCTTAATAATAGAAACTAATATCACTGAAAAATGTCTCCACTTATTGTTTTTTTATTTATTTATTTATTGTAGTTTGATAAACCTGGTAAACCTGAAACTTACAGGCTCCCATAGTGGGATGTACCGCTGTGCACCTGCGGTAGCGATTGACAACGAACGACCGGAAATCAGGACATAAAACAGCTTTGATTTTATTTGCTACAAAAGCATTTTAGAGTCGAATATTTTTTTTTTTCAGTCTTGATGTGCTAAAAGACAACCGTTCATCAACGTCTACAATTTTCTACTTGCCTCTGTTTGTGCATTTAAAGCTACGGCTGCGAGTGATGTGCGAAGCAGCTGTGGCAGAAAGCTGCAGAAGTTTGGCTCTGAATTTCCCGGACTTGCAAGCAGAAGCGTTCAGCAGACAGGCGCTGGCATGCATTCTTCTATTAGCCGCACAAGGAGATGCTCCGTGGTGTTTTTCCCCCCACAGTACTAGTTAAAGTAGTAACTAGGAGAGTATGACTAACTAGTTGTGGAGAAACTATGGGATGCATCGTCATGGCAACAGACCAGACGTCACAATCTGGGCATGTGTGTTCCATTTTTGTCTTTCTTATTTTTCAGACTGCAAGACCTGGATATAGATCTGTAGGGAAAAGAATATAAATGTTCATTTTTGTTTCTTTTTTTAGCCGGGGAAAAAAAAACCTTTTTTTAGTGGAAAAAAAAAAAAAAAAAAAAAAAATCCACTGAGCGAGTTCTTTTTGGGTGAAGAAAGAGACTGTGCTGCGGCGTCTGGAGGGTTAACTTTCAGTATTCCCAGCCTAAAAGGGGTTTGGGGGCTATGAGATAAAGATGCCGGGGTCGCTGAGTAATGAAGACGAGGGACAGGACGACATGGATTTTGAAGACGATATGCCAGGTGAGGGAACGAGGGGAGGCGGGGTGTCCTTCACATTATTTTTGCGCCGCTACGCCTTGAATGCGGGGAAAAGGGCTTGTCCTGCGTTCCTGAGACCAAAGAGGAGGAGGAGGAGGAAGAGTGGAGCGGTGCAATAAGCAGAGTCATTCCTTTTTTTTCCTTCCTCTTCTACGACCCGGTGTGTTGAAGGTGGTGTTTTTGGATTTGCCTCCGGCTGTCCCTAAACATCCAGCTTGCTTTGGGGGTATCATGGAAATCCAGCTTTGTGTTTTTCCCGAGCTGTTGAAGCTTTCACAGGCTACATGCGTTCAGAAGTAAAAAAAAAAAAAAAAAGCTTTCCGCTCTATAAAATAATTAGAAAACACACACACAAGTTGTGTCCTGGGAGCGGCTTATTGTCGCTGCAGTGTCAGTTTTATTTGTGCTGATTTTGTCATCAGTGCCTTCGAATAGACATTGGCTGCAGAGACGCCATCCTGGTCGGGTTTGTTGAAGATGCGCCGCCGACTATGATCCAACTTTATTTCTTTATTTATTTCTTTCGGCTCTGCATGGCCGCAGAGGTGTGAAAGCCACGTGTGGGCTACAATAAACAGCCTGTTCTGTTGCGTTGCGCACTCATGACAATGTCACCAGCACAGTTAGCTTTGGGTCGTGCATTAACCTAAATTACGTCCAACCTAAATTCTTCATCTGCAGCTCTGCCTATCGCACCAAAGCTGCATTCAAGACAGATTCCTGCTGTATTTTCTGTTTTTGCCATATTAATACTTTGCAGTATGATGATGCAACTTTTTTTTTTTTTTTTTTTTAGTTTTGTGGTTCATAATAGCGTTTATTCTTGCAACAAATCTCAACTTCTCAGTGGTCTTTTGTTTAAAAAACAAATATTGTAATAGTTTTTAGGGCAAGAGCTAAGTAGTGGTACATGGGGGTGCTAAGCTTAAACTGTTCTTTGTTGTTGCTGTGCACTACCAGACAGCTTGCTGAAAAGCCACTACAGTTTTTCCTCACCTACTACAAAATCTAATTGGGGTCTTTGGAAATATTTGTTTTATTTTTATTTCTTTAGGATATTTCTGTATTTTTTTATGATATTGCAAAAATGGACTGCTATAGTGAGGGTCATTGAAATTAGAATAACAGTTATGTTTTAATAACATTATTTAGCAGCAATAATAGTAATAATTGGTTTGCTATTTTTAAGTCAAGTCAATTACGCTTACATGTTCTGTGTACCATGAAAATCAGTCAAGTTTGTTTGTATTGTACATTTCAGCAACAAGGCAGTTCAAAGTGCTTTACATCATGAAAACATAAAGGCATCATAAACACATCATACAGTAGCAGACATTATTCTGTCAAGTTTCATCATTAGAATCATCAATACACATCAAATGTGTGGGTCCATGTTTTGGTTATTGTGGATTTAAACAAACTGTGTTTCAGCTGTTTAGCTGTTTTCTTTGAGTTTGTTCCAGATTTGTCGTGCACAGACGCTGAATTCTGCTTCTCGATTAAATTGATAAAACTACCTAATTTAGCCCAGCTCAAACCAGTGATTTTTCACTGTTTTATTTCATTCTGCTTTTGAGCATCTATTTGTTTGAATCTTGAGACAGTGCTTAAATAATAAATCTTCTTCTCCTGCTTCTATCTCAGATCACTGTGTTGAAAGGTTGTGTATATAACAGACTGAGTGAAAAAAAAAATATGAATGAAAAATTCCAAGAAACATCTGTGCATGACTCCTGTCATTACTGTTACAGACTCAAGGTCAAATAGACTTGAACTACTGTATCTCTTATCAACTAAAAATTAATTTGAGAGAAGCAATGAATTAAAGACTCCTTTGCGCCATTTTGTTAATATTGTACCATATTAATATTGGGCAAAATAGTATACACCGCCATGTGTATATGTCCATAAATTTTACATATTACAATATTACTGATTGTAATGTGTAAAATGCAAGCCTTATAGATAGAGTGTCATGGAGAGGGAGCTGAGTCTAGCCACTGTTACTCTGCACTGTAAGAAGTCAGTTGAGGTGGTTTGAGCATCTGATCAGGAAGCCTGCAGTTAGTGGCTTTCCCAGACACTTTCCACTGGGAGCAGATCCACTGGAGAGACGAAATCTTCCATCATTAGAATGCCTTGATGTCCCCCAGAATAAGCTGGAGACACGACAGATGGATGAATGTGTTTCCATCCGTAGCTGCTCCCCTCTTAATCCAATCCTGGATAAACAGAGGATGGATGGATTATCAAAATATTGATGAATGCTTCAATCATTGACAACTGGCATCTTTATAAGCTTGTAATCATGAAGAGACAAAATGATAATGAGAAAGGAAAAAAA